ATCGCGCGAATGATGAACAGGTTAGTGTCAAAAACAAACAAACAATCGATCTGAAATCAAGTGCAGAGCCAAACACATACCAAACCGACCCACCCCTCCGTCAACTGGTAAAATGAAGACCCGGTGCACCCCCCGACGACGATTTCACCCCCAAAGTACACGTGCATTTCGGCACGCGACGCATTCATCCCCTTGCCCCCTCCCCATTCACCCACTCGACCCCATGGAGCATCAAAATCCAAAGAAAGAGAGCGCGGGATCCAGCGAACCGCGGGAAAAAAGCAAGTGAAAAATCCCGAAATAGATATTTGAGCAAGTAACTATTAATAGTGGATGAGTGCGTGCCGCCATTGCCCCCCATCTCTCTCAAAATTTCTCTCTCTCTCTCTCACCGATTCCTCCATGCACCCACCTCCCACCACCCACTCAAAAGCATCCTTCCCTCTTTTATTCTCCTCCACCACCTCAAGGTACTGCCAGCCCTTGGGAGGGGGAAGCCCCGAGGTTTCTCAGATGTTCCTCCCTTCGTGGGGAAATATATAAAAAAAAAAAATGGAGGAGCCCTCCTCCCATCTCACCTCATCACCACTGAACACCCTCCGCATACTTTTTGCCCACTGCACGTTCGCCTTCCTCCTTTTATCCTCCCATCCTCCTGTCTCACTTTACCCACTGACGTTTTCCCCTGAAACCGATGCACGTGCCGTGTGCAAAGCCACGGTATGACTAGGACGAGCTCGGGGCGTCAAGAGCCATTCGAATCCAGTATTAGTGCGGTGCAGAGTGTAACAAGGTGCTTCTCTATCCCGATAGATTTTATTTTCAACAATCATCATATCGTTATCAATTATCCAATATACCAAGTGGTGAGTACACGAGTTCATTCATTCGCATAATCGCGGGGGATCGATATTCGAACGATGATAAATCGAAAATGAGGCGGAAAATTATTGGCGGATGATAATGCAATTGATGATAGTTCAAAAATTCTTCCGGTATCATTCCTCCGACGTTCTTTCGACGTTCTTCCGACGTTCTTCCGACGTTCCTTCGACGTTCCTCCGGCGTGACGAGTGCTTCACCACGATTTTCGTTGCATCGGTCCCGTCGGAAAATGCGGGAAACTCTTTGAATTTGATTTTACCATTCGGTATCACCACCTGAATTCGCGGGGAGGTGGGGTGGATGGGGTTGATGAGACAAATGGCGGTGGTGTCGTCTGGGAAACTGGAGGGCATCAGGGAAAGGGAGAGCTCCGGAAGATGAAGATGCTGCTGGGGACATGGAGGGAGGAAAATTGTGCGCCCGCGCGGTTACGAGGACGTACCTTCCCTAATACGGCGACTCGCTCGGGCTACGCCTCCCAACCTGCAACCGATATAGAATCGTTACCTCTCGCGCTATTTTTTTTTTTTTTATTTTCTTCTTTTTTTCTCGGAGGAGAGGTTTCACGGGGACTACTTTTGCCGCCGGGGGTGACTCGCGGGGAATAGATTTCCGTGGCGGAAGGCCGGTGGGACACGGGATGCGAAAATAGATGGGAACCGCTGACAGCGAGCCAATTTTTTTCCCTTGATTGTTTACGTTAACATTGCTAATTGTCTTCTTTTTATACTCTGGAGAGTTGAGGGGAGATATTATTGTATAATGCGGGGAATTTATTTATTTCTGGAGGTCCGGTGGTGGGAGATTGGATAATATGGGGAAGGCTCTCTGAAATAGAATACCATTATAGATATTTTGGTTTTGGTTGGCGCCGAAAATGAAAATTCCGGTGGTGGCGGGAATATGGGGGAGGGACGTGATTTTTGAAACATTTTTTTATTCTAATGGAAGTGCACTGAGGCTGTAGATTTTTTTCGGAATTGAAATAGATCTTCTTCATGAGAATTATCATTCCTCCGATTTGCTAGATAAATATAAAGAAAAAATTTTTTTTTTGTTATTAACTTTTTTGTAGATTTTTTACAAAAATTGCCCTACCTTTTTTCGTTTTGAAAATATTTCCGAAAAAATCATTCAAGACATGAGTCGTATCTGTTATCATGTGTTACCAGTCTGTTACTCAATTTTTGCATTTTTTTTTTAAATGTCATTTTTCTAAGATAACTTTGTAGTATACAAAAAAGTTAAATTAAACATTCAAATGAGATTTCGTTCATTTGTCGATATTTTTTTTCGTCCGGATAATTGGGAGGTAATCCATGGAATAAATAAGAATATATTCATTGAACATATTCCGTTACCAGTGTAATTTTACTGTCAATTTTAAAAGCGCATTTTCCCCAATTTTAATTGGCAAATTAAACAAGTTAATTGGATACTCGTGGGGATCGAGCGCGGGTTTTTCGCCATTTGCATGTAAAAAAGAACTCATTAGGATAATTAATGGTAAAGAGTCCCGGGAGTGTCTATCTGCGAGAATCTCATTATTTGGAAGAATGTGGGAGATGAATTATAAGAATTATCATTAAGATGTTAGTGTAACGAGCGATTATCGCGTCTCTCAGCTGTTCCCATTTGCTATACATAGACTGAGAGTCATTAGTTATACGACGGCTAATCGCATCCCAATTACGGAAATAGAATGGGCGCGTAATCGGGCAATTACCCGTCACTCGGGAAATTCGGCTATTAATTTATATTTTTTTATGATTTCTCACCGAATTATTGTGACATCTGTTTTACTTTCATTGCAGTATAAACGAATATGCCTTTCAAGCCAGTAGAGCACCCAAAATGCCCCAAATGCGGCAAGTCAGTTTATGCCGCTGAAGAACGTGTCGCTGGAGGACTCAAGTGGCACAAAATGTGCTTCAAGTGTGGTACGCCATTCATTTTTATTGCAAGAATCATTAGAATAGTTAACCGACCCACATGAAAAATATCTGGAGATCGACGTAACTCGTCGCCATTTTTGATTCAGTAGCAAAGAGACAAATCTCTCAAATAAACTCTAGCACGGAAACTACCATCTAGTGAGAAATTTCATGCCCAGTGAATGCTTCTCATATCGACATGAAATTTTTACATTAATTATCATAAAATTCACTCGACCAGCAACAGTATTTGTGAATAAAATTTTATTCGGATGCAGGTCTTTAAATCCAGATCTCGAAAGTTCGTCATTGAAAAATATTACGGGCTTTTTAATTCACTGTGAATCGTTTTAATTATTCACTAATGAAGTATTGAATTATCTCGGTAATGGAGAGAACCTGAAGGATCATCAAATGTTTTCATAAAAAATTTATACAGCTCTCCGATTATTGTCCGATCGGAATACTGGAATGATCATCTCGTGTTTCGAGATCTCTAATAAATTGTTAATTAAGTTTCGGCAGAGATACTTTCAATTTTCTTCATCACTTTATAAACACCTCGACAGTTTCAATCAATCAATTATGAGTTTCAAATGAAATTAACAGACCCAAAAATACATTGAAGATTACAATTGGAAGTCATAATATGCATTCAATATCCGGTTATAATTTAATAAAAAAAAATTTCATGAGAAGAATAAAAAAATTCAGTACTTTGCGGTGCCGCGAAGAGTACTTTCTGACAAGTGCGGTAACAACCCTCGTCTTCAGCGGAGTCTGCAATCCTCACACTTATCATTTGTAATCATTGAACAATATACCAATTTTGTTGTATTATATATTTATAAAAAACTAATGAACATTGCAGGACTGTGCAGCAAGCTTCTCGACTCAACAAACTGCTCTGAGCACGAGGGGGAGCTGTTCTGCAAAGTCTGCCACGCCCGGAAATTCGGCCCCAAGGGTTATGGTTTTGGTGGAGGTGCAGGCTGCCTGTCCATGGACCAGGGCGAGCACCTGCAGAGAGAGTGAGTGCCGCAAGGATGTCGCACCCGTTGCGTACCCCCTCACCTACCCCCAACCCACCCCTACCTATTGTTTAAAAAATATATATCTTCCGACGTACAGCCAAAATTGTCCCCTGTAAATACCCTCGTCGCGATACACCGAAAAAAAAAGAGCCATGCATTCAATATCCACTACATTATAAGTGTTTAATGAATTAAACCAAAATTTCTAAAAACCAAATATAAATTTTGAAAATCACAATGAATCCAAATGACGTGAGTTTACGCCGAGCGACGGAGTCCGAGAGATGTCCCCAACCCGTCATTGTTAAACAAGAAGATAAAAACATCATCACTATTTATTTAATTGCACTCATTAATCTATTAAATTCGTTATTAATTTATTCAATTTCGATCGGCATCCCTTGATCGGTTGTAAACTCGATCACGACGAGCATCTCACACTCTCCCGATTCCCGATTATCTTAATTAATTATTAATTGAATGATGACAATGAGAAATGGAAAATTCATTATTTGAACTAACAGCGGAGAACAGAACAACAATCTTTAGAAATTCGTTGGTAAATTTTCCTGTCCTCTCATCACCTCCCCATCACCTCCCCATCACCTCCCCTCATGCCCCTCTACCCCATCCCCTTTTTCCCCACTTGTTTGCTGTCTCCTCGTCCTCAGAGCGCTCGTCACGTGGGACGAGTGAGTGCAAATTAACGAAAGCCCAAAAACAATAATCAAAAAAATAAGAAAAAACGTGAAAAGTAATTTAATTGTGATGAATCTAGTCGGGTGCTAGCCTGTTTAATTGTTTCGTTTTATCTTAATTCTTGTGCACTTTTTGTAGAACAAATCGTATTCACTGTATTACCACACCCCCCCATCCCACCCCCATGCAACAATCTCTCTTTTACCCATTGTACGAATAATTTTCCCCCACGTCTCCACGAGTTTCAATTTGTACTACTGTCTCTGTCTCTATCTCTCTATTCTCCTCTTCCTCCGCCACTTCTCATGAACGGAAAAAAATTATGAAATTAATTAATGAAAAATGGGAATAGATATTTTACACAAACACAATGAAAAGCAGAAAAAAAAAAATCCCCAACGAAACAGTTTTAGTTTTTAGGATCATTTGTACCAGCTGTATTAAGTACAACATTAAAAAAGAAAATTATGCATAAAATTACTCAACTTGAAAAACAATTTATTACAATACGATTATTTCGGTTGATTAATTAATAACACTGATTGATGCGTCATTCGATGGGATAACTAGTCTCGTTGATGCTTCTCTCGACTATTTTCGCCGGATGAAAGATTTTTTTTTCTTTCACGAGAGAGATCCTCGCAATTGCTGTTTTTTTTTTCTCATTCTGAGTTTATCCATCCGGGGATGGAAATAAGTAAACAATGAATGAATGTAAAAAAAAAATTGCCGTCACCCGCCCCCGCCAGCCCCGCCGAGTTCGAACCACCAGAGGCCCATTGATAAATCCGAATCACACCCACACACACGCATTCGTGATTATAATGGTGAGCACCGAGAATAATAATAGCAAATTCCGCGTGAAATTAAAGCTTACCCGCGTATAAATTATCCTGCACGGCCTTTTATTTTCTATTCAACAACGAAACAGAAAATCTATCTCTATCTCTCTATCTCTTTTCTCAATTTATCCGATTTTTCATGTGGAAGGAACAGTACAGAATTTAACAACAATTTTATAAAAATCGTTGTGCAATCGTGAGAATTCTATTAGTTTTCTCCCAATAGACCAGCTTTTTCCGCGAATTTCGAGTTGTCCTGGGGATTCAAGAGAATTTTAAAATTCATTGAAAGTTGAAGAATTTATTTTCAATGGGATTATCAAACGGTAATTTCCTCTTTCCACTGATTTTCTCATTAAGTTATCAATTTTCGATGAAAAAATTCCCGGGAATTTCAGTTCCCAAAAAATAATCATTTGATGATTATTTTATCCCATTGATGATTTACTGAAAAATTCAAAGGAAAAACTAATAGAAGACTCGATGGAATTCCCCAGCGAAATAATATTGGTATCGAGATAAATAAAAAAAAATGGAAATCAATGATATATCAGAAAACTTCCCATGAAAAAACATTCTGGCAAACCTTCTTTGATGACTTAACCCGACTAATCACTTGTTTTAATCCAACTAACAACCGGTGTTATAACGGACCCAACCAAGCCGGTCCAGCCCGCAAGCCTCGCCTCGCTCGAAATAAATAAATAAATAAATAATTGTCAAATGATCTCAACTGAACTGAATGACATTGATTGTTCTCTCAATCTTCATGAACGTTTCATGTCTCCATCTCGATCTGCCTGATCTTCATTCATCACCAGCTTATTAGTAGTAGACCCGAGGGTTTATTCGTTGTCATGAAATCATGACATGACACAATGACTGCTGATTTCATGGGATTTCAGAGTGATTTCAAGTGATACCTTGGGATATTTTATTTCAAATGACTTCACATGATCTTCCAACTGATTTCATATGATATCAATTCAGAGTGACACAGTGATTTCACCCATGAATAGCCCATCGAGCTGTTGAGTGTCCGCTTCATGTACCTCAATTGAAAAAAAAATGTATAAAGATGAAAAAAAAAAAATTGTTGAATCATTGTCATGTGCTTCTCGGCTGTTCTCTCGGGGCTCGGCGGAAGCGACTCGCGTGGTCGGGGTTAAACTAACAATAGCTAACCCAATATTCGCCTAACACAGATTATATTCGCGAATTCAAACTGAGTCACTTGTGACCGAGAATCCTGCCACCATTCGATTATCATCACCTCTCAAATATTTTTTTGACTCCATGCCTCCGACTGGATCAAACCCCCAATTAAATTTCAATTATGATGACAACTATACAATTAAAAATATCATGTCTTTATCGCCACATCTGCAAGATTTACGGTCACAATTTGTCCCTATCTCCTCTGCCATTCTCTACTTCGACATCACGTTCCAACATTTTTTTCAATCTCATCTCCAACTTTTATTTTTCTCAATGTCTCCGATTTGTTGTTTATTTTTATTTGTCGCAACGCTGCTTCTATTCTCAATCTCTATCTCTGTCAGATAGCGATAAGGCTATAATTATAGACCACAAAATGCTTAAATTTTATCTAATTTTGTTATTTTTATTTATTGAGTGATTGATCTTTATATTGTGCAAGTAGTGAAGTGATTCATCGAGATGAGTCGAAGCTTAAGGTGCCATTTTTAGGTAATTGAATTTCCATCGAGAAAAAACTTGTCGAGATAAATCGATTATTAAGGAAAATCATTGAATTTGGAACACCTCGACTCATCTCGTTATCACAATTTCCTACTGAGGTATACATTTGTAATCGAGTAATTTAATTTTTAGTGGAGAATATAGAGGAACCAACGCCGTTATGGAGCCCCGTGCAATCGCCAAAGCACCCGAGGGCGAGGGTTGCCCCAGATGCGGTGGATACGTCTACGCCGCGGAGCAAATGCTTGCGAGAGGCAGAGTAAGTATCCAAAAAGAAAAAAAAAATTCACTGAGAGTCAGAACTATTATTCACAAAGAATATTTACTTGACGTAAACAAATACTCTTCTCTACTATAATATATTTCATCAATAGGCTGTTAGAAATTTTCATTATCTCACTCAGTTGTAAAACTCTACCCGCGGCCTCAATGGCAAAAAATATTGTGCGTCAGTTGGTCGAAAGTAATTTTTTCTCTCAGTGCATCTGACCCAAAAATAACGCGATTCCATTTCTGGTTGAAAGTCAAGAACAACGCGAAACCTCGGATTATGAAAAAAAGATGTCGTAATCCCAGCTCAAGGAATTTCGTTATTTTCGAGAGTATCAGAAATAATTTTGATGGAAAATTTTCATACGTGCAATGACTTTGAGTAGTCGTTGGGTGTTGGCCCGAGAAATGGACTCGAATCTTTGGCATCAATTGCCAAAAAATATCGGGAGATCGTCGATGTAATAACGAGGGGTACGTGAGTCACTTTGGAAAATATAAATTCAAGCCAAGAAAAAGAGATCTTGATGGCCAAGCCTAATTGCCTGGGTAATTCCATCCACTGCCAGTTTCAATGAATGATTATTCCGTTGACAAAAACAATCAGAAGTGGTATCACATAAAAATAGAATGAATGACGACTCTTGAGTACATCCGAAAAAATTCTATATTCTTTCACTCAATTCCGGGCATTTCATCCAAAATTCTGTAAAAAATTTTATTTATTCTCCCCTAATCCATCAGTTGATTCTGAATTCTCTTTCTATCAATTAATTCCAGTTATTCCAGAAAATAGTTTAAAATTGTTTGATAATGAATAATTTATAATTTCACACGTGCAAGTAAATACCAAGAAAATTCAGGCGATTCAAACGCCCAGAGAATAATCTTCGATAGATAATTCGCATATTATTGAATAATCACCCGACAAACGCACAGTGATTGATAAATTAATGAATATTAAGGTTAAACCCCGTATTTCCCACATACATTATGTCTCGTGAATTCTTATGACCAGGGCTGGCATAAGGCATGCTTCAAGTGCAAAATGTGTGGCCGGAGTCTGGACTCAACGCTCCATTGCGATGGTCCTGATGGCGATGTATACTGCCGAGGTATCATTTCGATGAGAGAAATCAATGAAAAAGAAAAAAATAATGAGCAGAGAAATAATGGAAAATAGCCCTTTGAGTTATCTTTTCTTCGTCACCATTGACAATCTCACGATTCATTACCCCGTGTCACCCCCCGTTAATAATCAAATGGTTTGTCCCCCGATCAATGAATTCTCTGAAAACCGAGTTGACTTGTTCACCCCCGTCGATAGGACATCCACGTGACTAACATCTATTGAATAAAAATTGAAAAGCCAAAGAAAAAAAAAATAACGTACCAAATCCATCCTTTTTGTGTTCGTTGTGTAGCCGTGGCACAGGGAATGCTTTAAATGTGGCTTCTGCTCCAAGAGATTAGACTCCGTCAACTGCTGCGAGGGTCCGGACAAGGATATTTACTGCAAAGGTAAAACAACACATGATTGTCAACAAATCCCAACAAGGTACGACACGCATCCCAGAAATTCACCAAGTTCATTGATCCACCTTTCCATTTTTCATTAAAACATCGCCAATATCGAGTCACCTCCGAAATATCATCAACGAAAATACGACTATCGGATTGGAATTCTGCCCATCGGCAAGAGTGCAACGAGAATATCCCAGGGTCCGAAGATAGAGCAATTGAAACACCCGGGAATCTCTCTCTTCACGCTCTTCGTCGTGTAATTCAATAGAATCCCAAGAATGATTGAATTTTTGATTAGTCCGTTAATCGTCGTTAGACCGCAAAATTTTCCCTAAAAATCATTCCCCGTGTAATCTTAGATACACTAATCAAGTTAGACCTTCATCCACGCAATTATGACTCGTCCACTTTCACAATTTCACTCGGTTCTCATGCAGCTAGACAAGTGAGTTCATGAAAATTTCACAGTGCAATCATTTTTACCTCCATTTATAATCCCCCGAGTCATTTATCACCCCAAAAATGTCCGATGTATTCTCACCGCGGATGATTAAAAACCAAACCGTCAAATGGGGGGTGATAAAAAAAAATGGCGTGTCGTAGCTTGATTTATAATCATGGTAGAGGGGTAAAAAAATACACAGCAATGAACGGAATACGCATTAACTCATGTTCTCCCCAGTCTGCTATGCCAAGAAGTTTGGACCAAAGGGTTATGGATATGGTCAGGGTGGTGGTGCCCTGCAGAGTGACTGCTACGCCAATGGGTGGGTTCTCCCATTACTATTACATTATGGAGTAATAACTAATCATTACTTCTTCTACTGTCTATCCTCCTTTTACGAGATCATGCGCCAGTATCTGTCTAACGTGACAAAGAAACACTCAAGGGCACACGAGAATTCCTGTCTCGGCTTACTGTAATGCCTCAAAATTTTTTTTTTTTTTTTGGTATTTAAAAGTACTTGCGCTTATCTGCTTAACAGCTTGCTACCCGAAGCAATTCGGTCCGCGAGGCATTGGTCATGCTGGAATCATGTGGATCGGCCTGCAGAGCGACATTGAGGACAACGGGTACGACGGCCCTTTTATTGGCCTTCAATCGTTTCCTTTTATGTATCCTAAAGTGTTGGTCTCATCAGTCGGGAGAAAATACAGGGAACACTTTAGCGGGGCCGGGAAAACACTATAAAAATAAGGGTAGTTAGCAGTATATAGGGTAGTATATATATAAAGGGTCGCATATAGTCGAATTCTCGGAATTCGCTTCCCCCACAGCCCCAGGTACGCGACTTCAACGGGAACTTCTACTGTCTTCTTGAGTTTGACACACGATTGATTGTAAAAAAAAAATTATTGAATCTTTCGCAGCGAAAATAATCATTAAAAATATACAAAAAGAATAAGTCACATGTCCGGAGTAGGGATCGTGCCTGGAAATAATTGAGAGGGAGAAAATAATAAATAATAATTTATATTCTTTTTTACCATTGAGAGATTTAATTTTGCCATCTTATGACGGGAATCATATCTTAAGTCGTCGATAGACAAACTACTCTGCACAGCAGCTTTATGCAACAGCAACCCCTAGGCATTCCCAATCCTTCTGGTGTCGCTGTTCACCCTCTCCTGTGCTCCTAAAATTTTTAAAGTATCGCAAATTATCCGACCTGTAAATAATAAAAAAAATATTCGAGTCACTTCCCAGTTTCCATCCTGCATGGTCTTGATTTTTCGCCCGATATTTCGAGATTTATTTGCTCCTTTCAAATTCTTCGTACATTACTCAATTGATTTCTTGAATATTCGAGTAATTCTGGATTACCATTTATCTGAAAATTAAATTATTCATTAGACTATCAATAATCGTTCACCACGAAAACCAGGAGTTTCTCGAGTGTTCAAGAAATAGAATAAGATATTTAATAAACGTCCTAAATAAAAATTGAATTGAAACTCACATTATTCAAAATTCATATGACATTGTGTCTGAAATTTAATGAAATTGTTAACAGTGTTAAAAAATGATAGTTGTAGTTTAGACTTGAGTTGTTTGTGTTGTTGAGTGTGTACTAATGAGCCTGGCTCATTGACACCGAGTAACAGAAAATTATTCCCAAAATAGCGATGCAGCTCCAAAAACAACGGTGATCGATACGGCAGCCATTCAAGCACCCCCTGGGAAGGGTTGTCCACGCTGCGGTGGAGTTGTCTTCGCTGCTGAACAAGTACTGGCTAAAGGCCGAGAATGGCACAGAAAGTGCTTCAAGTGTCACGATTGCACCAAGACACTAGACTCTATCATTGCATGCGACGGACCCGACAAGGACGTCTACTGCAAGACCTGCTATGGAAAGAGATGGGGTCCACATGGTTATGGATTTGCCTGCGGCTCTGGATTCCTCCAGACCGATGGACTCACGTAAGATATATCCCCCGATTTAATTTTAAAGCAGTAGCTCCATTACTCAAAGTATTTCCAGAAATTTCCTCGCAGCTTTCATTACATTAATTGAATCGAGAAATGCCCTTTGGTGATGTGATTCATACAATTAAATAATGAGAAGAATCGTTTCGCAGGGAAGACCAAATCTCGTCATCAAGGCCCTTCTATAATCCCGATACGACATCAATCAAGGCACCAGCTGGACAAGGCTGTCCCCGCTGCGGTGGAATGGTCTTCGCAGCTGAGCAACAGCTCGCCAAAGGCACAATGTGGCACAAAAAGTGTTTCAATTGCGCTGAATGCCATCGCCCACTTGATTCAATGCTAGCCTGCGATGGGCCTGACAAGGAAATCCACTGTCGTGCCTGCTATGGAAAGCTCTTTGGGCCCAAAGGTTTTGGCTTTGGTCACACTCCTACTCTTGTCTCCACCGACAGCGAGCATGCACCGTCCTAGTAAGTACCGCTTTAATTAGATAAAAAATATATAAATAAAAATTCACACCGTATCAAAATTTGTATCAAAAGTGTTGTGTTTCATTTAATAGAATGACTCGTTTGATGAAAAAATGTTGTCAAAAAGATACTCGAATTATTTTTAGTATCTTTTCAAAGTGCTAGTGGCTTTTGATACGCGGTATGGATTTATCTCCGACGTAAATAAAATCAGTTGCAGTATTTTTTACTTCCACAGCATTGATTCTAAACCCCAAGTTGGGGCAAGAAGTGCAGACGGCCATGGCTGTGCCCGTTGCGGTTATCCAGTGTACGCTGCCGAGCAGATGATCTCGAAGGATCGATTATGGCACAAACGTTGCTTCAGCTGTGGCTCGTGCCATCGTTCCCTGGACTCGACGAATCTGAATGATGCACCCGACGGTGATATCTACTGTCGTGGCTGTTACGGCAGAAACTTTGGTCCACGTGGAGTTGGCTTTGGCCTTGGCGCCGGCACCTTATCGATGGCCTAGATTAATCCCACAGTTAAAATTATCCCCTCTAGCTCCTAACCCACACCCAACCCTTTAATTTCCATTGCCCTCTACCTCCGTTTTGTTTCTTGAGTTTGAGTGAAAGAATCTACCACGTGGGACGTAGGCATCGATGAACGATGAAAATTCGTTGAATGAACTCGCTGTGCACTGTGGATTCGAGAGCGAGACGAATTTAATGCGAATCGATTTAAGGAAAAACCAATAACGTAAAGATATCATCTTAAGTTATCATATGAATGTCATTATCTTTTATCAATTAAGATTTAATTTACGAAATGAACATACAGGTGAAATGATTCTGGCGAAGTGGGAAGACTATTTTTTCTCACTGCGACAGATTTATTTCAACTTGAATAAGAAGCACGAACGAAACGCCTGAATGAAGGAGGTAACGATCACTTTATTTTTTACAACTGTCAATAAACACACTGGTCATCTCATCTGAGTCAACGAGCTGTCCACAATGTTTCTTGCTCTATTGTCAGGCTCGGAGTTTCTTCGATAACACCTGGCAGAGCATTGTTGCTTCTCGTCCGGATGCTGACACCAACGAATTATCAATAATTACGCTCCATTGTCATCACGGAGGGGCGATAATCGTGTAACAACGACAACGATAGATTATTTTCAATAAATATCATTAAAAACAAAAGTAATGGGTTCTTTCTCCATTGGAATCATTTGAAGTAATGGTGTAAAACACTGATTTCATATATTTATAGCAACAACTGTACAAGATCCCTTTTTCCAGTCACACATAATGGTATAATAATGAAATTCAATCTTAATTGGTAAGTGCGAAGACAAGTTACGCATTTGGCGTTGTTTAAAATACATCTGAGGACTGCACTGGGCATCTTCAATCCTCTACATCCCATTTTATGAGGACGTTGCTTTTTGCATCGATGCATCACAAATTATAAATCACGTCAACCTCTTCACCCTGTTAATCCAAACGTGGTATCGCTTCTTTTCTCACAAATTATGTGTAACATTTCTTCAGGAGTATCCCCTACTGGAATTCGACTGCACATTTCGTACGATTCAAAGCACGTCGATAGATCTATTTACACGAGAATTGGACGTACATCGTTTTTTTTTATATATAACATCTTTGCAGAGGAGAACATTTTCTTGAAATTTTCTTGAATTGAAGGTGATCACGGCATCCTGAAAGAACCGAGAAGATTTTAATCGATTTGCAATGTCATTTCTTCTTCAACGAGGAGTACATCTGTCTTTCGGAGGTGAAATGAAAATCAACAGGTGCGGAAATAATTTCATTTCAATTTGTTTGCTGTGGATTTTTCATCTGCATATTCTGGTTCGAGAAAATGTTAGCCTCTGTATTTTGGAAGGATTTTTTTTAGTAGAGATTTGCAGTTTTTAGTGGGTCTAAGAGATAAGGGGGTAAAGTAGTTGTGAATGGTCGAGGACTGCAGGTTCCCCAGGCCCCTCCACCACCCCCCGCTGTGGTGACATTGATGGTACCACGGGCATTTGGTGAATGTCCATCGTGATTATCATTGGTGTGTTTGATGGAGACTAGATTCACATTAGCGAGGGACTTGATGTCGCTGGACGGTAGGTGATTGTTGGAGGGATCTGGTGGTGTACCCGGACTTCTCGGGGATCTTCCCTCGGTTTTCACACTACCGGAGACTGGACTCGATGCACCACTGTCAACACCAACCCCTGAACTCTGACCTGTGGTCTTCTGCTGCGCCAGACGCTCCTGCTTTCGAAATTTCGCTCGACGATTCTGGAACCACACCTGCGGAGCAGAAATCACTCGTCAGGGGCTTTCCATAATTCATCAGGTTTATTAATGGGAGAATTAAGTATAACTTCGAGTGAATGGCTTCGTGATTGAAAATTGCATGAATTTTAACTCCCTCTTTGGTTACACGACTCTCAATGGAGGTGGACTGAGCTCCTCGTTCGTCATTCCGTTTAATGAAAATTATCGACAACCGTCTATCATTCCGAAGCATTCACAATCCGATTATAATCAGAGTCGAGAGAATAACCGATACGACGTATTTTCATCTTGCTCGACTCATTAATTTCTATGTAATCGGGAATTTCGGGCTGCAAAGTAACCACACGATTACTTCCAATCAGTAGAATATCTTTTATCGAGCTGCTCATTCAATTTTTACTTCAATTATAATTTTTCCGAGTTTAATAAAAACTAAAATTTGCTCACCGGTTATAATTAGTAATCCTGGATTCAAAAATTTGAAAGTTCAATTTATTAAATTATAATGATACGACGGCAGAAGAAATCTGAAAATAAACTCTGCACTCAATGATACCATAAATTTCGAAGGCTTCGAGCTGGCAACAGGATAATTTTGTACCGAGGGTAGAATATTTTTCATCGACTGTTGTTTTTTTTAATTCGAATCGTTTATTTACCAAACAAGGAAGCGAAGAGGATTTGCGATGATGTCGGATGGAAAAAAAATTATAAAAAAAAAAGCAGGGGTCGAGGCGGCAGTTCACTCGGCCGGAACGAGAGAAGCTGGACTCGTAATTGGCTCTAGTTGGCAAATGAAATATTTAACAAATAAAACAAACGAAACGTCGGTGACCTGCATGTTAAAGTAGCGGATTTATTTGCTCATAGCGTTTGTCCGAGCGGACAGGGGGTGGAGGGTGAATTCTCCTTCTGCGAATGAGGAAGAGAGAGAGGGTGGAGTGGGTGGACCGAAAGGGGTGGCTAGCGTCGATTTTCCGAGGGGTGCAAGGTGTACGGGGGAGGCTGGGACACCATGACGAACGTGATTGCCCTTTCCGGACGGCAAACACAGCTATTGGATTTTTATCAGCTACGCTGGATATGCCCGGGGAACAAACGGGAATTAGCGACATCAGGTCCACTTGCATTTTTTACTCCATCAGGAGACTGATAGGAGTCTTAAGGATGTTCTACACTCTTTCCCCCAAAATTCACATTCAATTTCATCCTTCTTTTTCATGCTGAAAAAAAATAGGGGTTCAGAATTATTCACCAATGGAAAAATATCGTGGACAAAAGGCCCAATCTATTTTTTTTTTCAAAATATTGATTGATTGAGATTGGCATACGATTACCCAGATATCTTTAATACGATTCGGCATTTGAATGAGATGTGTGCGAATAATTGAATGATTAAGGTGAAAGTCAAACAGAGCCATGTGCGTGGCTCTTGGTAATCCAGATTCCAAAATGCATGATATTAAGTAGAACGTTGAATTGAGGGTATGATTTCATGAAGAGGCCAATAAAAACATTGTCCCCAGGATTGAGTTCGAGCTCACCGCACAAAAAATACCAAAGAAAGATGAACATGTGCCGATGTTTGATCGCACCACTGGTGTTAATGTTGAACAAATACACTCGGGTTAAATAAAATGTAACAAGGCGTCGAATCGAGGGTTAGTCGGGGGTTGAGGTGAGGGGTGACAGATGTCCCCTCGCCGAATGGATAAATATTTAATGGACGTTGTATAAGCCACTGGTACGACTCAATACGTCCCAACACTGACTAGTCACCAGACCAACCCTCGGTGGTTCGACATCCCAACAAAACAAACCCCCTCTCGAGCATCTGCACCCCCTGGACCACCCCATACCACCCACTGCACTGTTACAGTGCTTGCACTTTGCACAGGTTATTCAACATTGGTATGCCATTCTCGATCCTCACCTCCGGGCTTTTCCAATTCCATTGGGCTTATCCAATGATTTTCCACGGATTTCATGTGTGGGGAGGCTCAAACCTCCGATTTCTTCTCATTTCGCTCACGCCCGGGACTTTGTCAGGATTTTAGCCATTTCCACCGAAAGAGTCAACTCATGTAAAAAAAATCATAAAAAAAAAAATTCAACACAAATTGCAAATGAGTAATTCCAGATCGGATCTGGTTCTCGTTACACCATATTCACCACTTAAATCAGTAATTATCTCTTTGATTCAATTGACGATAAAATTTGACTCGCTGAAACTCAACTAGAAGAAAGTCAATCAATGGCAAAATCGGTGATTAAATTCATCACGTAGAATCGCTCAAGTTCATCCACCAGCCAAACATCCAATTCCATGATAATAAAATTGGTATAAGATTCCCAGAAAGTTGCATGGAATCGTTGAGAGGATGTACCCACGACCCTCGAAAAGTAATTCCCTAATTAAAAGGCTCCGAGAGAAGATAAAAGATGCTCTTTTTCTCTGCACGTCTCCTCGGCAATTGAATTAAGCCAACATATATTCCGTACGGCAAAGTAGGAACAATCACAAGTGCCAGGAGGGGGTGCAGGACGAGTGATGTCTCCTGGAGTGTCTGGGCTGGTTTGAAAATATCCAGCGAGGCCAGAAAGATTCAGCCGCCACACAACTTGCAACTACCAAAGTCAAATGGTATATAAAACACATACATTGGGTTAAAATGTGTATTCACGCGGGTTGAATGAGAAAGAGAGATGGTACATTGGTGTTGCCACGCTGATCCTCGGCAGGACAGTTTTTAATCACTGTAAGTGGATCTACATGGAGCTCGCAATTACCCCGGGCACATTCGCTAGCACGACCCCCTTGTGTATCAGCCACCCCCGTTACCAACCAGAAACGAATGCTTTCCCCATTTTCCCCCCCGTATAACCCACTACCACGTACAATTCCCCCCGCATCTCCCCCCATCCCCCCCCCCCATTCCACCCATATACCTCCCTCTACACCCCGCGCTTCATCATTCCTCTCGGTCCCTTCATCCCCGTTCCACCTCATTTTTTTTTCCACTCTTTTCCCTCTTTTCGTTCTTCTCTCACGTCCTCAGACACAGTTTTATTATTCCCGCCCGGAGAGCATCCCCGAGGACCGGGAAAAACAAACGTGTGCTCATTTTTTTCACTCTGATCTTTTACTTTGTTACGGCGTTTTCTTGCATGAAAATTATTTCTTTATTGCTGATGGCAGGATAAAGCGCCAGTGCAGGGGGTTAATGTTTTATTGTGAGATTGACGGGAATTTTTTGGGGGTTGGGGTGAAATACTGTGAGATATGACTTTTACCGAATTTAATTAACAGTTTTGGGGATTGATTAATTAGTTTGAGTGTTACTTTTTTTATTTTTACACGTGAAAATTTTATTTCACTTTGGCTATTTTCAATTTTTTTTTATTCAATCGCCGATGGAATAACTGAGAAGAATTGGATACGAAAATTGATTCGATTTTTTTTTAAATGAGGAAATGATTTATTTATTGTTAATGTTTAATCGTGAGATTGACGATAATTATTGGTAATTGAGGGAGAAATAGGACGTAGATGTCACTTTTATCGAGTGAATTAATAATTTTCTTGAATGAACAGTATTTTAAATGAGAACTGAATTTTTTATCGTCGAATTTCTGCATGAGAAATTAATCGATACGAGTTATTCACTGCGAGTGGGAGTTCAATGACTGAGAGTCATTGAGTATCTACCTGTTACTGTAAAAAATTTGTAAGACAGTTATTACATTAATTACGAAATTATTGCGAATCGAATTTGGAATTAATCAACTTCTCGAGCTTATCCACCGATTAAATTCATCATTTTCCTACCCGATTCTCCTTCAATGTTAATTTATTAGATTAATATGTAATCTTATATCAATCACCGAAAGCCCTTAAATCTTCTATCAACCTAATTATCAGAAATCAAATTGCCCCAATAAGCACCATCGGAAATCTAACGATAATTCAAAAGCAATCCCATTAAAAAAAAATCATGTAACGTTTTTTGGCAGCTTTTTTTGGCGCATAACTGAACTATGCATATCAAAATATATTTTTAAAAAAATGTATTTTTTTTATTAAAATTTTT